ACCTCTCCGGCACCGCGCTGGGCCAGGGGGACATCGCTGACGCTGCCTTCGCGCCCCTGGCCTCCCTCGAGGTCCTGGACCTCAGCGGCACGCTCCTCAAGCAGGGTGAGTCCTGGGCGCCCGAGTTTTCAGAGGCGGCTGTACAGGTGCTCCCGGGACCGGTTTCTTGGAGGGGTCGCTCACAGGGCTGCTCATAAAGAACCCCGCCTAGATTGCCTGAGCCACGTGCACCCTGTTGCAAGTGCCATACAGGGGTTAATTCCTTGAGACCCAAGAGGAGGGAACTACTAGGAGGGAATTATCTCGGTGCTGCCTATGAGGAAACCAAGACTCAGAAAGGTGAATGACTGGCCCGAGGTCTCACAGCTCATTAAGTGGTGCCTCCAAATTTAAACCCAGGCATTCTGGGTCCAGCGCCCAAACCTTCAGCCACGCGGTTCTACTGCGACCCAGCAGAGTGAGGGGATGCTGGTAGAATGGGGGAGTGGATGCATTGCTTTGGGCTGATCAGAATCAAACAGGCAGTTCCGTGAAGCAGCGTGTGCTCTGGGGATGAATTCAGGGACTCTGCTACTTGATTGGCTAAAATTCTGCTGCAGTTATTGACCCTTCAAACAAGACACAGGAGGGAGGTGAGAGTACCAGTTCTCCTCTCCTTGGTGTGTTCTGACTCTGGCTCACAAGGTTGGTTTTGTTATGTTTAAAAACCCTTCATGTGTCTGTAATCGCCTGCCCTACCACAGACAAAGGAAGACAAGAGCGAGAACTGGACACAGAGGGGAAGGGGCACGTTCTCCATGTAGTATTAGGAGAGCCACAAATTAGGTTTCTGGGCCTCCTCCACCTTGCCCTTCTCTCCTCCTTCCTTACCTTTCTCAAATAGTTCCCCACTCCTGGTAGCCATCAGGGTGAAGTTTGGGGTATTTCTGTGTGGAGTTTAGCAAGAGGGCAGGGCAGCGGCAGAGTTGGAGACAGTGTCCTGGGTTCAAGTTCTGGCCCTGTCCTTTCCCAGCTGTGTGTCCTTGGACCAATCATTCTCCTCTCTGGCCTCAGTCGCCTCAGCTAAAAAGGAAGGAAGGACTGGTCTTTCAGGTGATATAGCCCATAGTTCTGAGCTTCCTAAAGCTTCCAACTGTACCCATACTCAGCAATGACTTCACAACTGACTTTGTCACTCTTGGTGTTTCCGTACTACCCTGCCAGCCTCCTAGGTTGGTGGCTTCCTGGGTAGTGAGCCGTTTCCCCTCTGTGTTTCAGTTCAGCCGAGGTGGATGGGAGACCTGCCCAAGCTCACGTCCCTCTACCTGAGGAAGATGCCCATGCTGAGGAGCCTGGAGGGGGACATTTTCAAGATGACCTCTGACCTGCAACAACTGGATTGTCAAGATTCCCTAGCACTCACCTCTGTCCAGACACACATCTTCCAAGACACTCCTCGCCTCCAGCTCCTTCTGCTGCAGAAGTAAGTGCTTCTGAGTCACATGGATGGATTTTGCCTGTTCCCCTATGTTGAATCGGTGTAACTATCTTATAGAGCTTACCAGACTTCAATTTTCTTCCCGTGGCTCCTTCGGGTCCTCTCTGGGGTTTTGTTCTTCTCATCCTTTGGATAGTATCTTGGGCAGGTCCCAGATAGTCCATCCAGCCTGAAAACCATGCAACTCAGTGCTGTCCAGAGTAATACTGAAACCCCAAACTCTCATGCATGTAAGGTTTCCTTTAAGCCCAGATAAGAAACCTATGCAATGGAAGAGGGGATGAGGGCATTAGGTTCTTCTCTATTTCTCCATCCATCCATCTGCTTCTCCATGTGGGGAGTCAGCCCTTCCAGGGGTCTAAGAAAGAAAGATGAGAGGGTAGAAAGGTCCTACTAGTGGTCAGGACCCAGGGCTGGTGTCTTCTGGCCTGTTGATGTCCGAAGTGTCACTATATCCACCTCCTTCCTGACTCCTAACAGGAAGGACAGTGTCCCTGTGATGATGATCCCATGCCACCTCCTTTCCTGGGAACCCATACTGGAACCTGGGAAGTGGGCACTTTTCCCCATCATCACTCTCAGAGTAACCACTTCTCTCTTTTTTCTCTGCTAGCTCTAGACCCAACCAGAGTACTTCACTTCGGGGCTTGTCAAAAGGGACAGGAGATAGAATATGCAGAGCACTTTGTGCCTGGCACACGGTGTGTGCTCTATAACATTAGTGCAGATGATGGTGGTTGTGATAAAGGTGATGGTAATGATGAAAGTGCTGGTGATGGTGGCAATGGTGATTGTGATGATGCTGGTAATGTGATGTATTGGTGACAGTGATGGTAATCCTATATAATAAAAGGGTAATATGCAAATAGACTAAATGGTGGAATGACGGGTCGCTATGACGTGCACTGACACCAGGGGGCAGACGCTCAATGCAAAAGCCGGGCTGACGGCTTGGCCAGCGAGCGCAGCAGTGGTGGTGGGAGCCTCTGCAGCAGTGACATCCCCTGAGCGCTCCCAGACTGCAAAAGGCTGCAGACTGGGCTGAGGGACACACACACACACACACCTATCCCGCCGCCCCCAGTGCACGAATGTTATGCACCGGGCCTCTAGTGGTGATAATAATGTTGGTCGTGGTGATATGTTGATGAGTGATAACTCTGTCTCAGATCTCCTTTTGAGCTTTTGACGGATGCAACATTGTGTATAAGGCATAAGATGTGGAGCCAAACTGCCTGGGCTCAAATCCTGACTCCACCACTTACTAGCTGTGTGAGTTGGGGCAAGTTACTTAACACCTTTATAGAGCAGTTTCCTCATCTGTGAAAGGATGACAATGGATGCAACATTGTGTATAAGGCAAAAGATGTGGAGCCAAACTGCCTGGGCTCCAATCCTGACTCCACCACTTACTAGCTGTATGAGTTGGGGCAAGTTACTTAACACCTTTATAGAGCAGTTTCCTCATCTGTGAAAGGATGACAAAAAGAAAGTCCAAGGTCATTAAGAGTTTTGCCCAAAGTGAGATCATCTAATCCCTGACAGAATGGGTTTCCATACACCACTATGACTCTGGGAATAGTTTTGACCTGATTGCAAAAGCCTGCCCTAATTTATTTTCTGTGTATTTCAGCTGCAACTTGAGTTCCTTCCCTCCTTGGACCCTGCATTCCTCCCAGGTTCTATCCATCAACCTCTTTGGCAACCCCCTCACTTGCAGCTGTGAGTTGTCCTGGCTCCTCATGGATGTAAACAGGACTATCCTAAGCAGGTAACATATTTACAAAATAGGTGACTGAGGGGTGAGGGTCAGCCTCCCAGAGCTGAAGTCTGGCTCACAAAAGCAGGCTGGGCAGATGGGCAATGTAGGGCAGGGAAGATAGCCCCCAGGCAGTCACATCCAGGGACGCAGAGGGGCAGAGAGCATGGAGGAACAGACATGGGAGGTTTTAATGGGCCAGATCAGGAGGTAGGGCTCATCACTTCCATTCACTTCCACGCTTAACTGCAAAGGAGGCTGGGAAAATGTAGTCTAGCTGTATGCCACGTAGGAAAAAGAAATGGGCTAAATGAACAGTAGGCTTGTCTCTGCCAAAGCAGTGTTGTCATTGTCCCATTTTACAGATGAGCTGGTTGGGGCCCGTGGAGGGGAGCTACTTGCTTAGATTCATGCAACTTCTGGGTGGAGGAAACAGAATCTATCTTCACCCAAAACTGTGCTCTTAACCGCTGGGTTCCCCTGAATCCCCCCAAATGGAGCCTGGCCTCCTCTATCACTCAGTCCAAGGCCAGCAGGCTCACAGAGCTCCTGTGGGACAGACGGAAGTTCTACAAAGACTTCTCGTTGGCTCTTAGCTGGAAGAGCTGTCTTTGCAGTGGGAGCCATGCCCGGGTCGGCCACCAGAAAAGGATGTGGGTTGGGAACACCTCCCTCAAACCAGCTCCACCAGCTCACCTTGGGAGACATCCCCCCATCCTGCGGGGATTCTTTTCTCACCTCCAACCCAAGCCTGGAAACAAGTGAGGCGCAGTCTGTCCTCTTCTCCCCTTCATGTTGATTCCAAAGACAAGCACCCAGGCCCTTTGCGGCGAAGGGTCTCACATGGTTTTAATGAAGAGGCTGAGCGTGCAGGCTCTTCGCCCCACTTAGCACTGTTCGTTTTGCTGCATTACTTAACCTGTCTGGGCCTCTCCCTCCTCATCTGTAAAATGGGGATAACAGTGCCTGCCTCATAAGGTGGTGCAGATTGAATTCACTGATACAGTAAGGTACTAACCATAGTCCCTGGCACGTGGCAAGCACTCAGAAAATGTTAGCCAGTCTGAGTGTTGTGACCAGTCCTCATGGCCAGGAGGCAGCCAGGTGAGAACACTCAGAGAATCTGGACTGCCCTTCGCGGTGCTCGCCCACGGTTAGGCGCTGTCATTTGCTGGCCCTGCTAACCTGAGCTTCCCTTTCCTCTTCTGCTTCATGGGAGCCTCCTCCACAGGTCAACCTGAGGTCAGTGAGGTGATGTGCGTCTACCCCGTACCATGGGGTTCCTGTTGACAAGGCTAAGCAAGAGGGATTGTCTTCACTGAGTACTCAAAGGCCAGCGCAGAAAGCGGCCTTAATGCCAAGTACCTTCTAACCCAGCGGTTCTCAACCTGTGGGTCGCGACCCCTTTGGGGGGCGAACGACCCTTTCACAGGGGTCGCCTAAGACCATCGGAAAACACATATAATTACTTTTGTGATATTTGTGATTAATCACTATGCTTTAATTATGTTCAATTTGTAACAATGAAAATACATCCTGCATATCAGATAATACATCCTTATCAGATATTTACATTACGATTCATAACAGTAGCAAAATTACAGTTATGAAGTAGCAACGAAAATAATTTTATGGCTGGTGGTCACCACAACATGAGGAACTGTATTAAAGGGTCGCGGCATTAGGAAGGTTGAGAACTACTGTTCTAACCGGTTGACCTCTCCCCTAGGGCAGCGGACACTGTGTGCGCACCAGCCGCAGGATCCCCCGGGGCCTTCCCCGCACCCCTGGCGCTGTCCCAGCTGCCCAGCGTGTGCCCTGGGGACCAAAGCACCACCCTCCGTGATTCCAGCCCACCCTCCTCTGCGGGCTCCACCCACGCGCCTTCTACCCCCGGTCCCTTCACCCCGCTGCTGAGCACAGCCCCCTCCTCTCAAGCTGTCACCAAGGCCCCCTCCCACCCTGTGAGGACCCCCTCAAGAGCTGGCGGGGCGGGGGCCGCTGCCTCCACTACCGTCTCTACAGCAGGTCCCAGGAACTCCAGCGCTGCAAGCCCGGCCTGGACAGAGCACGAACCTACTGCCTCGCATGTCCTGGACCCTAATATTTCAGCTGCCTCCCTCCCACCCACCACCAGCAAACATCGTGGTCTCCTCCCTGCCTCCCGGAACCCACTGAGCATCCCCCGGCACTACCGGACGACCCAGGCCACCCCGCAGGCTCCCCACCCAAGTCCTTCCGAGGATGGAATTCCAGTCTTGGTTTTGGACGACTACAGTGAGGAGGAGGAGGAGGAAGAGGAGGGGAAGGGGGAGAAGGTGAGCGCGCCTCCCCAGGGCGTGGCCTGCGATTACCACCCTTGTAAGCACCTCCAGACCCCGTGCGCGGAGCTGCAGAGGCGCTTGAAGTGCCAGTGCCCCGGCTTCAGCCAGGAAGACACCATCCCAGACCCTCCCAAGCTGCAGGGGGTGTCGGAGATCACAGACACGTCCGCGCTTGTCCGCTGGTGCGCCCCCAACTCGGTGGTGCGCAGCTACCAGGTGCGCTACTCTGCGGAGGGCTGGCCGGGGAACCAGTCCGCGGTGGGGGACATCTATGCCACGGCTCGGCAGCACCC